ATGAATTTAAAAAAATGATGCATCAAGAAATTTCATAATAGCAAAAATAAAAAAACAAAAAAGATTCTTTTCATAAAATAAATAAAAGCAACATCTTTTTAAATTTTGCAAATAAAGAGAAAATTGATTTTGAAAGCAACTTTATGAATTGATGTTTTATTCAAAAAATCTAAAAAATAAGTCTCAATGCATGTATTACGTATAGCGTAATTTGAAAAATATACTTAATATAGAATGTTTAAATCACCGTCTCCACTGAAAACTGTGCTAAAACTGTCCAACCAAATTTGTACTAATAAAGACATAAAAATTGTGTTTGACAGTAAAAAAATACAGTGAGACGCGCATCCATTTTAAACGCATCAGTTCGGAGATTATTCAATTCCCATTTAACGAAAAGAAGATTGAGAACGAACTTTCATTGAAAACAAACACAGTTTAATACCCGCTTCATTTAAAATTGTGGAAGCTTTTCGAATTTCGGTCAAATAAATTAGTTTGAAAATACAATGGAAGTGATTGAAGGTATTTCAGGAAGTGATTACGAATTTGATATAAATCCAAAGAAAGTATGTCGTTTGTGTTTATCACAACCACCGAATCTACAAAATATTTTCTCCAATTCTATTGTGGATGGTTATATTATTAGTATTCCAGACATGTTGGCATTTACGGTTGATATAACTGTAAGTTTTGTGATTTCAAAAAAAAAAATTGATGTTTATTTTCTCTAAGATTAATCTCTTAATTTAGGTTGCGACAGATGACAAACTGCCTAGTAAAATTTGCATCGATTGCAAAAAGCAAATTGTTACTTTCTACACATTCAAACAAAAAACTAAACGAACTGAACAGTCACTAATTTCAATGTTTTCATCCGACACAAATACCGTACAAGACGTACATGTCATTCCAGATTCGATTCAATGTTCATTTTGTTACGCTACATTTGATACAGAAAATGCGTTTATTCAACATGCACAACAAGACCATCAGGATATTGATATTTTTGAAATGGATGATACAAGTGAAAAAATGATAAAATCCTATTCTAAAGGACAAGAAATTGAGTTTTACGACTTTGATGCGATTGGAAACGCAGAAAATAGCAGTGAAACTGAGATCACTGCAGAAGGTATTCAAATTGAGGAAACTGACGTGTTGACAGCCGAAGAAGAACAATTCGTAGCACCAGCTCGTTTAGAACGATCTCGGGCGTCCAGTTCAAAGACGACAAAATATGAGCCATCGAAAGTGAATCGTCCTCGACAAACTGAAAAAACATCAACATCAACATCAAAAATGGTTTTTAAAACTGAAGTCAATGATTTTGACGAAAACATTGATATTAACGATGACTACGAGTATGAGCAAACTATACATATTTGATTTTCATTATATGTTTCCATTATTTCCATTACGTTCCATTACATATTGATTAATTTCCATTATTTCCATTCTTTTCTTTGTGACTATCCCTAGGCAAACTGGTAGTGAATCGCTGGATTTATACGAATTTCAATGTGAAGGTTGTAACAAGCTCTACGACGATGAAGAGCAACTATTGCAGCATGATTGTGAAGCAAACGATGTGAACGACGAGGATTTGATTTGTGTTCCCTGCAACAAAAAAATGAAATCAACGGCACAATTACGACAACATAACAAAATGCACGATTCGATGAGTTTAATCATAACCTATCTAGACTTTTTCCCATGTCATGATTGCTGCTTGCTTTTTCTAAATAAAGAACGTCTAAATAAACACAATAAATACTCACATCCAGAAAAGAATGCCAAATCATTGGTTGGTTTGTCCGAAAAAATTGATGAATCCTGCACAGATTATCAATTTCTTGATGAAGAGAAACAATTAGATTTCAAAGAAGGTGAAGTATATTCCTGTGGTGAGTGCAGTCAATCGTTTCAGACCATCAACGAATTAAAAGTACACGTGATTTCACATGCGTCTAAATACGAATGTCCAATAGAGGAATGTGGGTGTCAGTATGACCAACTAAGTAGACTTTCAATTCATGTGCTTAATAAACACATCAATACAAAAAATTTACAATGTTTACATTGTAGCAAAGCATTTAAAACGTATGATGACCTTCAAAGTCATCAAAGACTTTATTGCAAGGAAAAAAAATTCAAATGCAACGAATGCGGTATGAATATATTTTTTTAATAATTTGAAATAAAAAAATGTAATGTAACCTTTTAAAAACATTTTGCAGATAAAAAATTCTTTTCAAGAAAGGCCTTGATTACACACTTGCGAACATTGAAAGAAAAGAAATTTAAGTGCAAACTGTGTGGAAAAACGTTCAAGCAAATGGGGGTAAATTATTAGGATTATGGAAGAATTGTTGTTCATCATTTTTATTATTTTGTTCATTATATTTTATTATTATATATTATTATTCCTATTAATTTCCATTTTCTGAATCCACCAGGAGTTGACTATCCACACACGCTCACACACGTAAGTTTTGAAACTTTTTTTATTGTCATTATTTTTAATGTAATGTTATACAATTTCTGAAGGAACGAACGTCCATTCAAATGCACAATTTGCAATAAATCGTACAAGACAAGTAGTATGCGAGCAGCTCACATGGATTCACATATCAGCGGCAAAACGTTCGAGGTAATTTAAAATTCAAAACCTATTTTGAGTTCACTTTCAATTTTTTTATTGTTGCCAACAGTGTACACAATGCGACAAAAAGCTACAGTCCCGAACGAGTTATCGAAATCATATGAAGCGTCACACAGAAGAAAAAAAGCATGAATGCTTAAATTGTGGGAAAAAATTCTTTACGCGGTGAGTTTTTTTTTTCATCGTAGAGACGAAAAATTTGACGTACATTTGACTAAAATAAAACATAAAATATTTATCTAAGGTACCATTTGCGGCTACATCAATCAAAGATCCATAAGGGAGTTGTAAGTGAGGATACTAACGGTGGTGGACTTACACAACTCATAGACGATGACAGCACAATGATTGTTTTTGAATAAAACCCATGAAACATTTTTTTTATTGTAATTGAAATAATAAAAACCATGTAAATAAATATATAGTCGACTTTAAGTTTATTCATGTATTTCATTTATTGGTGGTTTGTTGATGACGTCTCATATGAAGAGTAAGGTGATAATTTCGGCTAAATTTTTTTCCACATACATTGCAATGAAACTTCCGCTCACCGTGTAATTTCTGATGGCCATGCAGAATTCGGGCCGATTTGAACAGTTTTTCGCACACGTCACACTATTATGTAGAAAATATGATGTTAATGAACATATGTGATTTTCGTTAGCTAAACAATAAAATCAGTCTTACGTAGAAAGTAGATTTAGTAGAAAAATGTATGAAAATAAAACAAATTAGCTCTTACTTGAAAGTCATTTTTAGTAGTATGAGTACTACGGTGACCACTACGTTGACCAACTGTTTTAAATTTTGCATCACACAGTTCACACTGAAATGGTTTTTCGCCTGTATGCGTTCTATAAAATAGACAGAAAATATAATTTAAAATGATAAAATGCTTAATGTTAATTACTCTACCTCAAATGATTTGTTAAATCATTATTCTGAAGAAATCTTTTTGGACAAAGGTTGCAAACATATTTTCGATTATTTGTGTGTGTCCGCATATGCATGTTTAATGTGCTCTTTTTATGAAACAACTTTCCTATAAAGCTTAGTTTTTTAATTTCCATTTCCAAAATTCGTTTAAAAAAATAATACTTACCACAATGGTCACACTTCATCTGCCTTGCACTGCATGAAAAACGTTGATGTTCTTTCAATTCGTTGCTTGTCTTTGCTTGGAACAAACAGAATTTGCAATTATGGTGTGAATGTTCACGTATTAGATGGAAGTATAGTGAAGTAAATGTAACGTGTTTACAATTGGTTTTATAACAAGCATATGTAGTTTGATGGAAATAAACATGATTGAGACAGTCTCCTAGGTTTCTGAATTTCTCTCCACACACTCCACATGCATGAGCCAAATCAGAGCGGATATATTCAGGATGCGTATTCAAGTTTATTAGATGTTCTTGAAAATGTGCTCGAAATGCAAATAAGTTCTCAAAATCCAAAATGCATAGACAGCATGAAAACGTAAAATTGTCAATATTTTTGCATGTTGAAAATAAACGAAATTTGGGTTCTTTGCTTATGTTCTGATAACTAGGTTCTTTGTCCAATTCGGTGGATCGATCACACAAATGTTCAGCATTAGCATGTTCCAATAATAAATTGATGTATGGGAAACACATTAAACACCGACTGCATCGATAAAATTCAATTGAGCTTACAAGAGATGGCATTATTATACTATGCTGATTGAAATGAGTTTCCAATAGAGATTGTGAAACTTGTTCACAACAAATTTCGCATATTACATCTTTAGATAAATCTAATTGATTTTTGATTTCCAAACTTTCGGAAGATGTGAAATCCTGTTCAATTATAACGTTGTCGGTTTCAACATTTGATAAATACATGGTTTGCCAAACAGTCTCTCCATCTCCTTCAATGTAATCAGAATTGATTTTTTCGATGACTTCCACTTCATAAATGTCAGCTTCGCTCTCTTCATGTTTGGACATCTTAAGAATTCTTTGTAATAATTTATGCGATTTTCTACTCTTTTGTCTAAATATGAATGCTTCAAACATTGTCTTCTCGCATTTTGTACATATATTCTTAGGAAATCCATCATTTTCATTTAATTCAATTCCTATTATATCTTTATACAAATCTGGAATGGACCAAATTTCACCATCGACAATATCACATCGAAACAATGACTTGAGATTCGGTGCCGTATTTTTCGCTAAACAGTTACGACACATTTCGTTTGAATTCAAAATTAAATTATATTCTTCAGCCATAGTGCTCCCGCTTGAAAATATTAAACAACAATTTGCTTCTTTTAATTTTAGGTCTCTGTCATCACAACGTCTACGTTTGTAAAACACAAAAATTGTTTTTAACTGTCAATGTCATTGGTGAGCAATAAACGCACACATACAACTTGACAGCATTACAAAAAAAGGGTCAATATAGAAGTTTTGATAGAGTTTCTCAAATGTTCATTCAAAAGATCATTTTACAGACAGCTTTTCGAAATAGTTCCAATAAAATTAAACAACTCGATTAAATGGCACAGAACAGCGTACATGTAACACACACGTTACAGACAAAACCTTCAATATTTGAACTTATTGCGGCAGATTCACTTCAATCAACTTTTTATCCAGCACTCAAAAGGATTGCCCATGTAATAACAAAAATCAACATGGTTATTTCCCCTGTCTAACGATTACACATAATTTTATTTATAAAATTATTTATTGTCTCAGTTCTTAGTCACTTTAAATCCAACAAAATATGGATGGTTATCAAAATATTATGATGAGCTAAACTTATGTCTTAATTCACTTATTCAACAGCATTATATTCGTTGCTATGGTAAATATAAAAAGACTATCACACTAAAAGCAATGATAAATTGTTGAATACTTTTTTAGGCGGTTCTTTCGCTGAAGTGTTTTACAGTTTGTCTCGGATTCACAGTAGTAGCGGAAAATTATCTTCATTTGATAAAGTTATGATATTTTTTGTTTCTACAATTGTACCATACATTAGGTATGTATTTTATATTAATTACTACATAATATTCATAATATAAATATTAATGATTGTTAATATTAATTATATACATTAGTGCAAAGTTTTCAAGAAAGAAGAAACAATGGGAGGAAGATTGTGAAAGTGATGTTATTGATGTGAAGGAACTACGATACAAGGAGACATTCATTAAAGCCCACAATATTGTCAAAGGAATTTATGATTGTTTTCTAGTATTGCAATATATCAGATTTATTTCAGATCGAAGTAAAACACACTCCATTTTTGATCAAATTATTGGTCAACATTTAGTTTATATATCTTCTAATACAAATTTGGATTGGTCGTGGTCTGATTTATTTTCAATGAATTTTCGAAAGTCGGCTTTTGTGACGGGAATAGTGTTTCGTACCTTGGAATTATCAGCATTCTTTCTTCAGTTTGTACAATGGTGGCAAAATGAGGCAAGAATTGGGAATTTGATAAAACTACCGAATCCAGATCCACCATCATATTCAAATTCGCTTCTTACACCAAGACAATATGAAAATATTTGTCCAGTTTGCTTACAAATGTGGAAGATTCCAACAGTTAATCGGATTTCTGGGTAGGTCCACACAGTATCTTGAAAAATATATAATTAAATAATCTTCATTCTTTTCAGATATGTCTTTTGTTTCAAATGTATTGTAAACTATTTGGGTATCAATTTTCATTGTCCGGTCACTAAATATGCAACATCAATCAACGATTTAGTACGAATTTATGATTATTAAGTGGTTTTTTTCTTTTCTCTCAGCTAGTTTGAGAGAGGTATTGAACTAAGGTGAAAAATAAAGACTCTCCAAAACATGTTTTCTATGCATATGTTATGTACTATTTTGTACATTAGATTAGAGGTGATTTTGTGGCAAAATAATGTGCGTCGCTGTGTGTTATGTGCCATGTGACGTGTGGCTTGTCTGTAAAATATTTATATTGCTCATCTTCGGAGAAAAGATATCCAAAAAATGATTTTACAACAAAAATTTTATTGTATGGTTGGGGACTGCGAAAAGTACGTCTGGTAAAATATTCAGCGATATTGATTAATCTGTGTAAAGTGGAGGGCTTTCAAATGCGAAAATAAAGACCTTTTTGTTACCACGAAAAAAAAATTCTTCTATCAAAAATGAAATTCAAATTCTGACTTTTCAGGAAGACTGCGAGGAGACGAAGTGATTATTCTTTGTCCTATATTTTGATTTTTGTTCACTTCCGATACAAAATTTTCGTTTGTCGAAAAATCGAAAACAAAACGAAAATTTTGTAGGCTATCTTCCATAAGGGCATTTTACTTTTCCGCACACATGTAGTGTGTAAGGAAAAGTATTGGAATCGGTCAAAAAATTAACACTCCTCAACATGTTTTCTGGGTGTTTTCGAGGCCAGGGAACACGAATCTAGCGTTTTTTCTATGTCCGAATGTATGTGCGTGGTACTCTGTACCCTGTACGCTGTACGCAAAAATTTGTTTCACGATAACTTTCAAACAAGAAAAGTAATTCAAAATCTGACTTCACAGGATGATTGTGCCGGGGAAAAAAACCATTAGATTTTGATCGACTTGGGTTGATAGAGTAAAGTGTCATGTCTGGTGTGATGCCCATGGCCATCCATGGGGAAAATTCAATTTTCTCCCAAAAGTGATATTTAATGTATACTTAAACACTCAAAATATGTATTGGGGGTTTTTTGGGTACGAGAAAACCGAATATGACGTTAGTTTTACGATACAATTATATTTCGACACACTTTTCATACAAAAATTTCAAAAAATTTGGAAGCCATGCCTGTATGATATCGTAATGAGCTGAAACTTTACACAGTTTATTTTTATCACACAAAAATAACATTCTGAGAGTTTGAAGAAATTTCAATGCATATTAGGGGTACCTCCCGAACAAAATTTTGGATTTTTTGCTCAAAAACGAAAATTTTGTATGGAAGGTACCCCTAAATTGTATTGAAATTTTTTAAACTTTCAGAATGTGCCACATCTTTAGTTCAGGGACACATTAATTGGAGCGATGTTTTATTTCTTTTTTGTATGTTATGAGTAATTGGGAGTCTGGTCATGTGTTATCAAATAAAAAACCTCTATCAATGTGAAGAACGAGTGACGAGACCAAAATTTGAAACACAAAATTTCTGATATCAATTTTGTGACGAAAATAGTTGGTAGATATATTTTCTGTGTACTGTGAATCTAAACTTAATATACATTTGTATATTCGAAACGTTGCAAAAATTCTCTTCTTTTTACTTTGAGTTCATGCTGATGCAATGAAGCAACGTTCCGAATTTACAAATGTATATTAAGTTTATATTCACAGTACACAGAAAATATATCTACCAACTATTTTCGTCACAAAATTGATATCAGAAATTTTGTGTTTCAAATTTTGGTCTCGTCACTCGTTCTTCAC